AGGGGGCTAGAAGGCAGATGCTCTATCTGCACTGTATAAAAAGCCTACATGAATCCAAATGCTATCTTGCTGGACTAACTGTCCTAGTAGTGTCTACCTATGGGAAATGCTGATTGTTACTGGCCAAAAAAAAGTTTAACTTTAACTTCCACTTACTGCATAAAAATCCCTTTGTTTGGGTGTAACATACAAAATTCCCATAAAGTTAAAGGTTTGTAAGTTTCATTACGATTTTGCTAATGACCTATTGATCAGAAAGCAACTTACAGAGTAAAGTTTATGGTTGTAGCCACAGACACAGGAATCCTCTTCACATTTGGTGATCTGGGACCAGAGAGAGAACAGCAAAACACCAATACTGGTCAACCGCATGAAGACGCACCTGTGGAAAGAAAAGGAAAGTTAGGAGAATGATAATAGCAGGACGGGCACAGGGGGTAACGCAAACATCCATAACACCTCATGAGAGTGAAGCGGATTTCAAAGGCAGGTGAATAATCTTCAAAATTGATGATGACAGAGAAAAGGAGCGGCGTGATGAAGTTGGCCAAGGTGATAACTATGGATGGCAGGTACTCAACAATGAGATCCTCAATGAAATTCACCTACAGGAAGGAAACAGTTGCATTAGACATGTTTTTGATTGTGCTAATAGGAAAAACATCTCCATAATTTTTTTAATTGAAACTTCAAACTTTTCCAGACTCTAATCAATATATTTTCTGTTTAAATTTCAGCTATACTTTGTCATTTCCAGCCAAATGTACATATATATGATTTAACAGATTATTGCGCAATAAAATATGGAACTTATACTTTCTTGTGGCAGATAGGATAATGTTCTTAGATTATTGATTTTTAATAGATCTCACTAAACCGATTATTCTGAAATATTATTTAATTAAAAAATATATATATATTTTTTTATTTCCAGTTCAAACTGTGTCAGAACCTCTAAACATTATAAATAGTGAGGATCCTCCAGAGGAATGGGGGAGAGAAACATAAAGGTAAGCGTCACATTAAGGAAAACTAATTCAAACACAGATGGCATGCTGGAACAAAAATCATGTCAGTTACCGGTATTACCTTTACATTGTTCATTTGTTTTTCCTGGGAAACTGTGGTTGCTATATAAATGCTGTAGAAGCAGGCAGCTAGAATGGCAATGACAAAAATGTTGAGGATGACACGGATGAGATAAATGCGACACTTCTCCTTTCTGGTACGATCTGCTATTTTGCGTTTGATCTTCTCCTCCTCCAAATCAGTCTGAGGAAACAGAAAATGGGACATAATGTCAAAGCAGTAAAGAAACACAACAAAAACACGATCACCTGAAAGACTAGAGGTAAGTTTTGGCTAATATTTAGGATGAACACTTCTGTAACATTGTTGACAATGCTGTTTTTAACTAAATAATACCTAAAAATTGAGCCTTTTTGGCCAAAGAAAAAGACATTTTGCAAAACCAAAAAGGACAAAACAAAATAAACAAATCAAACTAAAGTGGGATCTTTGATAATTCTGCCCCAAAATGTTTTATGCTGTTTACTTTAATTCCGTCTGCAAACAGCAATTAATACCAGCTGAGCAATAAAAGTACCTTTTATTAATATTTAAATAAATATTATACAGGCATAGATAATATTTGTGCAGGGCAGAGATTTATTTATAGTCTTTATCAGTAAGAAAGTTATTTAATTTGGGTGATTACTCAGGGGTGCTTAAACATTTCAGGACAAGATCCACAGAACTGTGCATTCCACTAGTGACCCATTATTTTTGACCTCCTAAAAATACATAGAATTATTTATCTCTAATTATTTCACAAATAAATACAGTGACATGATCGTGTGTACCGTATTTTCACGACCATAAGGCGCACCATACTAAAAGGCGCAGTCTCAGTTATGTGTGCCATTACTGTATTTAACACAAACATAAGGCGCACCATATTATAGAGTGAGGGGTTTTTAAATACCTCTACTGCGTATTTAAAAATAGAGCGAGAGCAAAACAGAGTATGTTTGTGCTTTATTCATGTATTTATTACAAAGT